CCAAACCTCCAGCAAGCCCACCCACAGCACCCAAACCTCCAGCAAGCCCACTTACAGCACCTGGGCCTCCAGCTAGCCCACCCACAGCACCCAAACCTCCAGCAAGCCCACCCACAGCCCCCAAACCTCCAGCTAGCCCACCCACAGCACCCAAACCTCCAGCTAGCCCACCCACAGCGCCCAAACCTCCAGCAAGCCCACCCACAGCACCCAAACCTCCAGCAAGCCCACTTACAGCACCTGGGCCTCCAGCCAGCCCACCCACAGCACCCAAACCTCCAGCAAGCCCACCCAGAGCTCCCAAACCTCCAGCAAGCCCACTCACAGCGCCCAAACCTCCAGCAAGCCCACCCACAGCACCCAAACCTCCAGCAAGCCCACCCACAGCACCCAAACCTCCAGCTAGCCCACCCACAGTGCCTGAACCTCCAGGTCCTGCAGAGTGCTACTGACATCAAAACTAGTTGCAACTTAAGCCATAGGCAGTCCAGCCAGCTAACCCACAGCACCCTATGGCTAGTCCAAGCCACTACCAGGGCAATTCTTGGGCAAATGAGTGAAGGGTCTGTGCTTCTGCCTGTGGCTGTGCTGTAGTCTAGGGTCTCTGGGGGCACAATACAGAATATGTACCCCTGGGAGAAGAGTAGAGGGTTCATGTGTAGAGAATGTAACTGGAGGAGTGGGAGTCAGAACCAGGAACCCAGAGATATTGAAACGTGATGGGTGACGGATCGACGTGCGGGTCAGGCATCCAGCTGAAGTCCATGTACCCATTGCACTCCTTACCGCTAATCCATAGTAATAGGTTGGGTGAGTCAGTCGTCGACGGATGGCCACCGTCTGAGTAGTATAAAGAAATGATGGACACCGGCACTCCAAGGTAGAACGTTTCGGGGTCACACAGGATCCCCTTCATCAGGCAGAACAAGTGAGAATTTACAGGCAGACATGGTAAGTACTTATACTCATCCTTACATGTGAAAAGACCAATCCCAATGCCAAAAAGTGATCCTATGACGTCACAACGACGTCATATTCCCGCCAAAATTCAAAGTACAGGCATCCAGCTAAGACTAAACCTTCAGATATCAGTGGACTAACTCTTTAAGTCTTCCCACCAGTCATGACCACTATCAGATACCAACCCCCGAGGGTACTAGAGAAGTCAGCACAGGCCGCTTAGCGCCATGGTTTAATGGCAGCGAGTGCCAGGCATCCAGTGTGAATGACAAAACTACTTTCATATCCTCAATCTGTGTATAAGCTTCATAGGTTCCTAGATGATGATCATGGAAGTATCTGACTGGTGTGTAGGACCGATAGTCAATAACTCAATGTCTTGGTAATGTATCCCCAGGCAGCCGCGCTCGGAAACCCGAGCACCCCGTGAGAGTAAAACAGGAGGGTGAATTGTATTACTCTGAGCCGGAATCTGAAGACCGAGGTGAGACTTTTGTGCTATTTCTCCATCGTGTGTCAACTTTTTGGTGGGCTTGTTCCAAGTCTCCATTGTGGTTTCATGGGCTGGCTCTGCCTATCTAGAGGGGGGTCCTAGGTGACATTAGGGGTCTTGGAGACCCCTGATGTCTCCATAAAGAGGACCTGTCACATATTTTGCTATCACATAGTTTTTATTAGCCTCGTATGTGATAGCAATAAAGTTTAGTAAAAAAAGGAAAAAAAATGTAAAGTTACACATAAAAAAGAATAAAAAAAAATGTTTTAAGTCGCCACCCATACATACACGCATGCAAACGGGGGCGCATACATGCAAAAACGATGATTGCGCCCATTACGGTGCACATGTTACATATCGTCGGAGTGAGAGCAATAAGTCTAGGGCTATCAATCACTGATAACACTAAACTGATGAGCGGTAAAAGCTTTTAAAGTGTCGCCTATGGCCAATTTTGGATATGGTAGTTTTATGCGATTTCGAGGGTGCGCGCAATTTTAAAGCTTGACATGTTTGGTGTCTATTTACCCGACGTGACCCCGTCTTTTATATTTTACCAAAAAAACTGGGTAATAATAAATGTTTCCTAACATGATGTAAAAAAAACTTTTTTTTTTCAAAATTTTCTGTAATTTTTCCTAATTATAGTAAAAAATAAAACCTGCAGTGGTGATTAAATACCACCAAAAGAAAGCTCTATCTGTCCCCAAAAAATGGTATAAAATTCATTTCAGTACAGCGCTGCATGACGGAATAAACGTCAGTCAAAGTACCGCAGCGCTGAACACTGAAAAATGGCCTGGCCAGGAAGGGGGTCACCTGGTCTTGAAGTGGTTAATACAAATACTTATTTTTGTAAACAATCCATAACCGAAGTTATCATATGCCGAAGTCCAAAAACAATACTAGGCGGCTGTCCCAGTGGACATCGGGCAACCCAAAAATAGGCACCAAATACTCACCAGACAGCAGGTGCTTGGAAATGGGCAATGTTTCCCAGGGGTCATGGTAGATCGACCCAGCAGACCCCCCCATCCACATCTATGCTGGGGACACCGGAACCCCAATTGCGGAAGGGACAGGAGGCAGTTAAGGAACCCAGTTCACTTCTATGCTCTCGATGGTCCTAGGGATGTCAAGGTAAATGGGGAGTGGCCATAGCACAAGGCTGTACTTTCAAGAGCCCATTCAATTTGATGGTGGGGGGAGTTCTTCTCCTTGTCCGCTGGCTAGCGGAGGGTTATGATTGGGAACCATTCACATTTTATTAATGTTAGAGCAAAGATGGATGTAAAGATTTTTCAATTTATTATGGAGGTATGGTATGTATCCTTAAAGGAGAACTATGGGGTCAGGGCTTTTCCCCATAGTTCTCCTTAGGGTAACGGGAGGACACAAACTAGCGTCCTCCCATTACCCTAAGCTCAGTATACAGCTCGCGGTATACTCAGACGCCGCAGCCGGAGCGGATCCCGAAGTAGATGGCGGGATCCACCCAGCTGCGTGAGTGACAGCTGGCTCTGCCTACCTAGAGGCAGAGCCAGCTGTACCCGCCCCCTCCCCGTCCGTTCCGCCAGTCAGCGCTGGCGGATCGGAGCGGGGAGAGGGGAATCCAGCCCCTCCCCCTGTCACGGCAGAGAGCCGTGACAGGATCGAGAGGTGAGCGAACGCCGGTATGTGTTCGCTCACCTCCCGATCTACTGAGCCGACCTGTGACAGTCTCATTGTCACAGGTCGGTAGAACTATGAGGTGAGTGAAAAGCACCCCCCCCCCCTCATAGTTCTCCTTTAAGAGAGATGTGAATACATTTTGATTTGCATGACTGGGTGATCATTTTTCTTGAAGTATGTACCGTAAAATTGAATTCTATCTCGGTGTCTTTCTATCATATTCTTCAAGTCTTGATCTGGTGATGTTTAGATAATCCTTTAAATACGGGCTGATGTCTACTCTTCATTGAGGTCTATGTTAAAACTTGGTCTTGTTTCTTGCTTATTTGGATTCTGCTGTGTCTGGTCTTTTTCCCTTTACCGTGGTTATCTTGGTGTAACAATGACTTTTGTTATGTAATCTGGAGTCTTTGGTCTTGCGTTCCATAGATGTTCTGCTGAAAATGTATCTTGAGGTTCTTGGTTTTTATTAGGGTTTTGTCAAGTCTTGTTCTTGTGGTTACAGAAGTTCTGTTGAGGTCCACTGTGGCCTTCATGATGATGCTGTGATTTTTGGGTCCTATCCTTTTTAGACTTTGTTTCAGTCTAAGGGCCCATTTGGTACGGTAAGTAGAAGAACCTTACATACATTTTTGGTGAACCTATGTACATTTATAATCAGCGGCTTTGAGTTTTGTGCTAGGAGCCTGACATTACAGACTCTTTCTTTTACTACTTTTCTTTGGGTTTCGGTCCAGTTCACCAAAATTCAGAGACCAATTGCTTGGACAACAAATCCTGGACCGAGCCCCCAAATGTTTTGCTTTGAGAACTACAGCTCCCGGACGAGCCCCCATAAGTTTTGCTTGAACTACTAATCCCAGGCCAAGCCCCCAAATGTTTCCCTTTTAGACTACAGATCCCAAAGACCAGCCCCCGAAAATGTAAAGCTTGTCCCAAGGACGAGCCCAAATGTAATGCTTGGCAAAACTTTAATTTCTATTTGTTGTCCGGTTCTGCAGTAAAGCTTAAGGAAACTGACCCAGTAGCATGTAAAGGAAAACTATGAGGCGAGTGAAAATCACTCAGCCTCATAGTTCTAGCCGACCTGTGACAATGAAACTGTCACAGGTCGGCTCAATAGATCGGGAAGTGAGTGAACACATACCGTCGCTCGCTCACTTCTCGATCCTGTCCCTGCAGAGAGCCGTGACTGTCACTCACAGCTCACTGCAGAGATCCCCCCCCCTCCTCTGTCCGATCCTGCAGCGCTGACTTGTGGAACGGACGGGGGAGGGGACGGGTACAGCTGGCTCTGCCTCTAGATAGGCAGAGCCAGCTGTCAATCCGGCAGCTGGGTGGATCCAGACAGTAATGTCGGCATCCTTCCCGGCTGCGGCGGTCTCAGTATACTGAGCTTTGGGTGACGGGAGGACGCTAGTTTGTGTCCTCCTGTTACCCTTAGGAGAACTTTGGGGAAAAGCCCTGACCCCATAGTTCTCCTTTTTAAGGTTTTGCCAAGCATCACATTTGGACTCGTCCTTGGGACAAGCTTTACATTTTTGGGGGCAGGTCTTTGCGATCTGTAGTTCAAAGGGAAACATTTGGGGGCTCGTCCGGGATCTGTAGCTCTCAAAGCAAAACACCAATTAACTTTTTCTTCCCTTTTCTCCACATACCTGTCTCTTCCTTTATGAGTATGGATTCCTGTCACAGACTTGCTTCAAAAAACAATTTAAGAGAGAGCGGTGAAAAAAAAAATTCCCTTCATCTCTTAAAAATATCTGCCTCTTGGTCTTGTGAATCCTCGCTGTGGTTGGGTCTCCTTCTCTTAGTTTTTTTTTTTTTTTTATGCCTTGTTTGCTTTAATCTTTGTTCTCAAGTGTCTATATTCCAGTTCTCACCGGGTACAATGGTTTGTGTTTGGCAGCCTTGTCTCCGCTTTCACATAAACTGGTTGTGGTGGTGAAAGAAGAAAACCTGGAGGACAAGTATACACCAGAAGCATCACTTAAGAAGGATGATAAGGAAGAGTTCCAGCCTGAATCTCAATCTGAAGATAGTGAGGAGGTGACCGATCACATCACCGGTAAGTGGCTGTCTCCTCCATCTGTGGCCATCACATGAACGTGATTCTGCATTGCAGGGGAACCCCCCAAAGCTGTTACATTTCATGGTAAGCATTCCGTGGATACCTGACCATCACACCTATATGAGCTTGCCGGTTATCCCATTCCAAAACCATGGCCATTATTATGGAGTTGGCCATCCCTTTGTTGGGTTAAAAGCCTCCTACTTTTCTAGGAAAGGTTTAAAACAAGATTTTGGAGGGTGTTTGTAGGAATTTGTGCCCATTCGTCCAAAAGGGCATTTGTGAGGTTCGGTAATGACGTTAGATGAGAAGACCTGCCTCGTAATCAGCATTCTAGTTCATCCCGAAGGTGTACCTTAAAGGAGAACTATGAGGGGAGTGATTTTCACTCAGCCTCATAGTTCTAGCTGACCTGTGACAATGAGACTGTCACAGGTCGGCTCAGTAGATTAGGAGGTGAGCGAACACATACGGGCGTTCGCTCACTTCTCGATCCTTTGCCGGCAGAGAGCTGTGACAGGGGAGGGGACTTGACTTGATGGAAGTGGTTACAGCAAGAACATGGCTGCCGTGACAGGGGAGGGGCTGTATTCCCCCCTCCCCGCTCCGATCCGCCAGTGCTGACTGGCGGAACGGACGGGGGCGGGTACAGCTGGCTCTGCCTCTAGATAGGCAGAGCCAGCTGTCACTCACGCAGCTGGGCGGATCTCGACATCGATGTCGGGATCCGCTCCTGCTGCGGCATCTCAGTATACTGCAAGCTACTGAGCCTAGGGTGACAAGAGGACGCTAGTTTGTGTCCTCCCGTTACCCTAAGGAGAACTATGGGGAAATTTTGGTTATTGTAGTTTTTTTGCGGTTTCACGGGCGCACGCAATTTTAAGGCTTGACATGTTTGGTATCTATTTGCCGAGCGTGACCCCGTTGTTTTATATATTATCCAAAAAATTGGGTTTTATATTCTGTTTCTGTGCACGAAATTTCATTTGAGTGTATTTTATCCTAGAAATACTGGTTTGATAAACATTTGCGCAAATACCTTGCGACATAAAAAATTGCACCTAGCATGTTATTATTCTACAGGGCCTCCGCTTTCAGAAAATAGATCATTGTTTGGAGGTCTGGAGCTGTTTTCTAGCCAAAAAATTCAGATGTTGTTATGTGTGTGCAAATGTAAGAAATTGCTCCGGGCAGCAAGTGGTTAAAGTCACCCTGTTGTATTGCCCTGCATGGGTAAAGCACAGGTTCTCTTTAGGGCTCCATGTTCTCACTGGATAACCATCAAAAAGTATATTTTAAAATCCCTCCAGAGGATGGCTGACTCCCTTGTATATTTTTATTAGGGCTGGTAATGATTAAAATTTTCGTGTTCGATTAATCAAATTTTTTTTTAATCGAATAATCAATTAATTTCGATTAATTATAACGCACATGCAGATCCAACTACATTGGCCTATACACATACAGCACTATCGATCAAAAAAAGTTTAATCGATCAAAAAAATTCACGATTAATCGAGGAATTAATCGTTAATTTTCACAGCACTCATTTTTATCAGTATCTATGCTTTTGTACTCCTACAGATTTGGAAAATGGTCGCAGACCAGAAGTTCTCCGCACTGGAGAAGATGGAAAGTTGGGTCATCCAATGCCCCTGATCGGGTCAGATGAAGACAGCATGTTGCTGTTTCCTAATGCCAGCATTGCCCTTAACCGGGCCCTGGCCCAGGACTACACGCTCGAGAACTCTCTGGAGATAGAGAAGTACCTGAGTAGCCTTGCTCACCCCATACTCCTCATGAAGGACTACCAGAGGCCAACCCAGAGCGAGTATGACCGAGGCTTCTATGATAACTACAGCGTTCCTAGCAAGCAGCGGCTCATGCTGATGGGCGAGAAGCGGTACCGCTGCAGCGAGTGTGGGAAAGGATTCACCAGAAACTCTCACCTGAAGGCCCACAGGCGGATCCACACAGGCGAGCGCCCCTTTAAATGCCCGGAGTGCCACAAAGCCTTCAGCGAGAACTCCCACCTCACGGTCCACATGAGGGTCCACTCGGGCGAGAAGCGCTACAAATGCGGCACCTGCGAAAAGAGCTTCAGCGAGAACTCCAACCTCATCGTCCACCAGCGCATTCACACCGGGGAGAAGCCTTACAAGTGCCCCGAGTGCGACCTCTGCTTTAGCCAGCACTCCAGCCTGGTGCGCCACCGTCGAAAGCACTCCGGCGCCCGCCCGTTCCAGTGTTCGCAGTGCGACAAGACCTTCAGCCAGAAGGGGCATCTGAGCAACCACGTCCGCACACACACCGGGGAGCGGCCGTACAAGTGCGCCGAGTGCGGCAAATCCTTCAGCGAGCACTCCCACCTCACCGGCCACCAGAAGATCCACAGCGGGGAAAAGCCGTACACCTGCGAGGTCTGCCAGAAGGGGTTCAGCAAGATCTCCAACTTGAAGGCCCACCAACAGATCCACACCGGCTACCGACCGTTCGCCTGCACCCAGTGTGGCAAGTGTTTCACCCAGCATTCCACCCTTGTGCGTCACCAGCGGGTCCATGAGGGCAAAACGGACTCTTACTGGAAAGTTTACAAGGGAGCAAACAAAGGCGCGTCTTGGAACGAAGAGCGCGTGCTTACGCGAACCGGATTGCCCAATAGTCAGGGTGCCGAGAAAGAATTGTCCGGTGATTTGGTAGAACGCAGCTGACGGATTGTCCTATTGGTTGACCTTGTGGCTGACTGAGGCGCACACAATGACTTTTTTTCTGTGCCGGTCTCTGGGTGATGAGCTCCGTATAGTATATGTTGTCCGTATAGTGCCGGCACTCGGCTCTCGTGTGAAGTATTATAACCTAAACGTTGTATCATTGCCCAATCTGGTTATGTTTCGGTTATCTCCGAGACAGCCAATCGAGGCAATCGCGTTCAGGCTCGAGGTTCGCCCAGAAAACCCAATTCTCCGGCCGGCAGCCGGCATAGGGCACAGGTAAAGGAGTACAGGGTTATGACTTAAACTAGGGATGCGCCCATACCCGTTTTTCAGTATCAAGTGCGAGTACCGATATTTATTTTTTTCCGGTACTCGCCAATAGCGATACCGGAAGTCCCATTAAAGGAGAACTATGGGGTACACTGGTAATAGCATTTTTAGATTCCTAACGGTACAGGAGTACATTTTGCAATGCACTCCTGTAATCAAAAATCTTACCATAAGCTCAGGATTGGCTATAACATGGTGTGGGCGGGGCTAACCCCCCCCCCCGGTGCTGTGAAGCAATCCCGACAATATTGTCGGGATCCTCCCGTCCCATCGACTGGCAACTGCTTGTAGAAGTGTGGGAGGAGAGGCGGGGACGGAGGGCAGAAGCGAGGACGGAGGCGGGGACAGAGCTACGAGGAGCTTCTGCGCGTTCATGAATACTCGCACATGCGCAGCAGCTGCATCTCTCAGCTCTGTCCTCTGTCCCCGCCTCTGTCCCCGCCTCTGTCCTCTATCCCTGCCTCTGTCCTCTGTCCCCGCCTCTTATCCCCACTGCTGTCCCTGGCTTCGTAGCAATGACTGATTCAGTGCGGGGAGCGTACTTAGGCTGCAGCGTGTCTCCTCTCACTGTGCCGCCGCTATTTCCCCGCTGTGTAGCGTCACGTTGTCATGGAAACAGACCCATGTGAGCGCGTGCATGCTCAAGGCCGGAAGCAGGTGTGCGCCCATTTGGAAAGCGCGGCCACGCGAAGATTATGAGCTTGAAAGGAAGGAGAGGGGGCGGGTTACAACCCTTTGTTGCCGCCCCCCTGCGAAGATTCAAACTGGGGGCGGGGCTGTTGGTGACTCTTAACCTACCTATTAACCTAACCTATAGCAAACAATACTATTGTTATTATTTATACTTTATTACTGTATCTGCTAATAGTATTGTTTGTAAAAAGTACATTTCCAATGCTGTATGTCATAATTCTCCTTAAAGGAAGCCAAGAGGCGTGTAGTGACTCGCCACCCGGCTTCCCGATAAGCAGGCAAAGCCGTCCCCATGCTCCCTCGTCACTAGGCATCAAACAACGGTTTCCTAGGTTACCGAGGCTGCGGCCTGCTCTTCTGTTCTCTCCTTCCCAAGTTCAGGTAGATGTCGCAGGCTCATCTAAAGCCGGCTTCGGGCATTAGGTCCTCCCCAGGCAGTCCTCAGCTGGACTGCTTTTGGATGTCATGAAGGTTAAAGGCCTCCTGTGTCTCAATAGAGGAGAAAGAAACTCGGTACTGTAAAGTCTTTTTCTTGGAGGCCATTGAGGGACACGGGGGCCCTCCCCCTCTGTTTCTGACCTTGATACTACTTTGTTACAAAACGGAGGGAATGCTCGCAGTAGAAGGGGTCATCCTGGGCTGGGCTACTGTTTTTTTGTTACCTTCTGTAGATGGCAGTATAACCCGAAGGTTAAGGACTTCTGTGTCCCTTCATGGACTCCAAGAAAAGGTTTTTATGGTGATTGCTAAAATCATCTTCTGCATGCCTTTAATTCCAGCATGTCATGTGACATCACAGGCCCCTGCTCTTCTTGTCCAGCAGTGACGGTAAGCCGAGACAACTTTGGAGGGGGGGGGGGGGGGCACCCCTGGGG